TTTCACCTGAAAATCCTCTAGAGATCCCTAACTCAACAGCTATTTCAAGACAACCAAACTGAACAAGTAATTAAAACCAAGCTGACTTTGTTTTCCTTCTTGGGTATCTCACAGTCCATTGCAAAGGTAGAAATTGTCTGCTCTATGTATTTTTCAACAGCACTGAACAGATTACCTGAGATTAGTATTGCACTTGTCTGCTTTACCTAGCTGTCATAGGAGAAAATATTAATAGCCCGCTGCAGTAACATACAGAATCATTCTTAATGATTGATCATATGGTCAATCTCAAAGAAATTAGTAGCTTACAATACTTTCTGCTCCAAAGCAATAGATTTTCATTAAACTAAAACTCCAAGAAGTGTTTCATAGTCTGCCACAAAAGAGGACTTGTGTTTTGTACAGGAGAACATGACCAGAGAGAGAACTAGAAGATCAGCCTTGTGATTCAGGACAGTATAAACCAACAGAATCAGAAACACTAATCTCAAAACGTGTGCAGAGTAGAAGGGAAAACCATTTAAGACAAATCAAATTTAAGTTCTGGTCTGTAAATGTTACAGATAAAATAGTGGATGCTTTCCCAACGGAGCCTATTGGCTCAGATCATATTTTAAGACCTCAAAAAAGAACATTTATTTCTCAAATTGCTATTGGCACGTGCATAATATTATATAAGCCCCTTTTTGTGGGGCTACTTGAAACACAAAATTCCTTTTTACTCACTTGCCTTAGGTAAATTGATAGTCAAGTACCTCCTCTGAAAAAAAAAAAACTAAAAAAAAATTAAAGGCACAGTGTATCAATGTACATGTAGCAGATGAAAGCTAGAAAAGTTTGGGGAGGACAGAAGAGTGGTCTCATTCCCTTTCATACAGTGTATTCGAGCAGGAAATGTAATTTCATTACATTTAAGTAAAAGATCAATCACCTTAACCAGCAACTTGAGAAAAAGAAAGAAAGAAGAAAGCCCAAACACATAGACAACAGATTTAAACCCATGACTGTTTTCCCATATCAGTACTAAAACAGGCTTTAAAAGGGTGACAACAATTCTCAGTTGGACAAGATGTGGGGTCAGAAATCAGGTTTGGGCAAATCCTGAGCCTGCAGAAACTCTCACTGTTGTACTGAATGCAAGATGGTCACTCAGGCAAGTTTAAAATAATCTTAGTTGTTTATAACTCCTATGATGTAAGGAATGTCTATGATAGGTGACCTGAGATTAATCTCTTCTTACTATAACATAATGATCATTGATTTAAAATTTATCTTAGAGAATTGAGATAACTTTGACTGATATATTTTCTTTTTTAAAACAGCATTAGTATTTTCTTAAAGTCAGGTTGTAAGATCACAAGTCTTTTGCCATACCTCTGACTGCAGTGTGTAGTACACTAAAACACTTTGCCAAAATACATAAATTCTTAGAGATGTATTTTAATCTACATGTCTATTCACTAGACATTTCTATCAAGTCTCTCCTTGCAGCAACAGCACCAAAGGGATTTCTATATTTTTCTCTCATCCACTGTGGAGAAAATTCATAAAAGAGACCTATGTTAATTAGTCCTATTGAGTCTGATCAAATATTACTATTATTAATATCAGTACAGAAAAAAAAGAAAGAATCCAAATGAGCCAGGTGTCTGAATATTCTTCATTAAATAAAAAAATCGGCAGGTAGATGGACAGATAGATAAATAAATTAATTAAAAGTAAACCTCCCACCACTGATCCACTCTCTCTATCTCAATATCAGAAACGAAGTCTCTTGTAAGATCAACGTACCCAAATTGCCATTTTTTTTAAAAGGCTAACATTCTTTACAGGCTAACAAGGGTAGCATTTTTCTCAAGCTCACACAGAATTTTCTCTTGTACTGTAAAACTGACACAAAAAAGAGCAAAGCATTCTTCAAAGATTCTGGTAAAAATACTGACTTAATAGAGTAATTGGCATTTAAGAGATTACAAATCTGAGTTAAAACTTCACTACTGACATCACAGTGAAAATATAAGTGACTTGAGGTCAGCTGAAGGAAGAATTTACATTTATTTCACTACTTTGAGATTATTGCAGACATTTGGTAACAAAAAAGTGGAAGATTACTGCAATGCAGTTTCTGACAGATAATATTTCCTGTCGAAACAGAACAGAAAGAACTGTAGAGCTTCAAGATTGTAATCGTTTTGTACATTTCTACCCACAAAGTACTTCTTTAGGCAAAATATTTCACCCCTGCAGCTGCTACCTCTTAGATGTACTGCCACCCTTCATCTTCATCCTCCCACAACTGGGAAGAAAGGAAGAAATGACAAGGCGAAGTTTTCAACATTAAAACAAGAAAGTTTTATACAATATAGCAGGAACAGATAAAAGATTCCCATGTGCATTATGAGTTTCTGCAATTATATCAAGAGTAAGATATTGTAAGTTGCTTCCTTTCTCAAATCAGCATTAAAGACATGCAGGCATTTGCAAAATCGTGTTATAAAACAAATACAGATTTATATGAGCTTTTGCTAACAGATGTCTCCCAACAGGGGTCAATGACAGGTTGTTCTTCCCCAGCCCAGATTTGCAATCTGTTCTTATCTGATTCAGTATCTTATTGTTTTGCTGTTCAAAAGAATTATATGTATTTTAAACACCAAGAAACAAGATCAGGTAAGACAAAGGCTTTGTATGAATCTCTAAAGCTGTGGTGGCTGTGATCCAAGTTTATCTGCACAGCCTTCATCTGAAAGACAGAAGTTTGAGTAAAGCAAAACTGACTGCAAAGGACAATAGATGCTATTCAACATAGGGTGGATATGTCTTAAGGGACTTAGACAAAATTTATAAAGAAACAAGGGATGTAAGAACTCTCATGCACATGGTAGGCTTTGTGGGGTTTCTTTGAGGAAATAAGGGTTTGAGATTTTATTAAAAATAATAATCCAACAGAAGGAGCAGCAGACAAGACTAGAAGGTGACTTTAATGACTGACAGGTAAGCATGAGAAAGACTTCTAATAAAAGTTTTCATCCCTGCAAAAAATTACCCAGAACAAAATCAAGGCCAGCTAACTTAAATCTTATGAATTTTCACAAGCTAAAAGAGAGATACATTACAGATAGATGAAGATACAAGCAGTTATTCAATTTCTACACAGGAAGTCTGCTCTACAGCCACCCCAAGTATTGCTTTGTAAGAAGAGACACTCGTACATTCCCTTTTAATCAACAGATTACAACACTCCTACAACAGTTCTAGAGAGCTATCTCCACAAACAATTAGTAAAAACTAGTAAAACAAAAAATTAGTAAAAACTAGTCTCATTTTGAATAGAGCAAAAACAACAGACAGGCAAATTTTGAAAATTAAGGCTCACTTAACAAGACATTACGATTTTAGGTGCCTTTGTGCATGGCACTATCTGAGCAGGCACTTTTGGTGCAGCACTTAGGAAAGTCAGGTCCTCAAAATATTGCAATTTGGAGGAAAAAACCAAGTACTTAATACACAAACTGAATTCTTGTGCTTGTATCTTGAATTTTTTCTTTTGCAGTTTTGAGCACCTATACAACTTGGCAGATATAACCACTACATTCAAAAGGTTCTTTTGCATCTAATGCTTCCTTAGTCAAATCTGATTCAGCCCACAGAACTTACATATTTTTCATGCTTCTTTATATGTTTCTTAAATATTTTTATATATTATTTTCAAAACATTTATATATTTTTTAGCTTTTGGTCAGTGCTGTCATTTTTGCTTACTTCAGGATCACAGCCGAGCATCATGCTTTGCCTACCAGTGACCATGCATCCCCAAGCACTGTGTGACTGCCAACTTTGAGTCCATATTTGTCTTTATATTAAGAGGAACAAGTAGGTGAGCAGGACTTTGTTTCACAGAATCACAAAATCAATTAGGCTGGCAAGGACCTCTGAGATCTTGGAGTCCAGTCTCTGACTGAACATCACCACATCAACTAGACCCTGGCACAAAGTGCCACGTCCAGTCTTTCCTTAAACACCTCCAGGGATGGTGATTCCACCACTTCCTAGGCAGTCCATTCCAATGTCTAATCACTCTTTCTGTGACATTCCACCAAATACCCAGCTTAAAACTCCCCTGACACAGTTTAGGCTATGTTCACTTGCCCTGTTACTTGTTACATGGGAAAAAAGACTGACTCCCATGTGGCTACAATCTCCTTTCAGGTAGTTGTAGAGAATGATAAGGTCCCCATGTGTCTTTTCTCCAGGCTAAACACCTCCAGCTCCCTCAGCCTCTCCTCACAGGACTTGTGCTCCAGACCCTTCTCCAGCTCTGCTGTCCTTCTCTGGACACGCCCTAGCCCCTCAATGTCTTTCTTGCACTGAAGGGCCCAGAACTGGATGCAGTACTTGATGTGCACCCTAAGCAGAGCCCCGGGGGACAATCCCTGCCCTGCTCCTGCTGGCCACACTATTGCTGATACAGGCCAGGATGCCATTGGCTTTCCTGGCCACCTGGGCTCACTGCTGGCTCATGTTCGAGCTGTCGACAAGCACCTCCGGATCCTTTTCCGCTGCTGTCACGCGATGGAACGTCCACGCTCCTGAAGTACGAGCATGCCGGTGTCGGACACCCCTCCAGCCAAGGGCGAAGAGCAGATACAGCGAGGCGGTGCCGACCCCCGCTGCCAGGCTGGGGCTCCAGCGCACCGACCCGGGCAGGGCCGCCAGCACCGGGGCCGCGGCCCAGCGGGCGAAGGCCCCATTGCAGGGTGGGGAAAGGCAGCACACGCCGCACAAAGGCTCTAACGCAACACAAGGAGCCGGGCTGAGCCCAGCCGGGCGCCGGGAATGGCGGCGAGGTGCCCCTCCTTCGGAGCAGAAACCTCCCGAAAAAGCGCTACAGCCCGGCGGAGGAGCGCCGGGAGCCCGGGCGGACGCCCTGTGCGGAGGAAGAGGAGGAGGAGGAGGAGGAAAAGGAGGAGGATGAGGCGGTGGGCACAGCAAACACGCACCTTCCCAGTGCAGATCGGGCAGCGGAGGCACAGCCCGGACCCCGGGCGGCTGCGGACGGGGAAGGAGGAGCCGCCGTGGGCTGGGAGGGGCCGGGCCGCTCCTGGGAGCCGCCGGCGCCCCCGGCCCCGTGGCCTCGTGGCCCGCTCCGAGGTCAGGCGGGCTGGGCCCTGCCGCTGTCGCCCAGCCCCGGCGGCCTGAAAAACATCGTCCGTCACCACCGGGCTTTCCAGGGGACTGAGACCTTCCCCGCGAGGGGCTGTGAGGGTGGTGAGGTGTTGGACGAAGCTGCCTCCCAAAGAAGTTGTGGCTGCCCTATCTCTGGAATATTCAACGCCAGCTGGGATGGGGCGCTGGGTGATCTACTGGAAGGTGTCCTTATCCGTGGCAGGAGATTGGAACGAGACAGTTTTTAAGGTCTCTTCCAACCCAAACCATTCTGTGATGCTGTGATGATCCTATGATTGCATTTTTATAGGGAGTGTGTGATAGTGGTGCAAGGGCACATGGAAAATGGATGAAGCATGAGGAGCCTTTCCTGCTGGCTGCACAGTCGCAGCATCCTTCTGAGTATTTCAGAGCATGGCAATTCTTGCTTGTGTAGTTCATTGATGTTTTCCAGCTAAGAGCCTTTCCTGCCTTCGTGCTCCTGGGAACTGAGGCAGGGCCACTGCTCCTTAGATGGTGGCTGCTTGCAGAAGTAACATTGCACTCATTTAAATAAAGGTGTGTTTATAAAACACTTAGGTAAATGAGTGCAATTTCTTCTGTAGATAAGATCTTAAAATACAAACATGGGTCTTAATCTGCAAACACTTGAATTAAAGCTCTCATTTTATTCTGTTTAAGTCAATGGGACTACCCAGGTGCTTAGAGGTAAGGGTTTTAGGATCAAAGCCCTTGGTGCATTTCCAAAAAGCTGCTGTAGCAGGAAGACATTGAAGAATTTCCCTCTAATATTCAACACTGTATTCCAATATTAATGAACTTTCTGCCTCAGTGAAATGACTGTTACACTAATGAGCTTCATGGGTGTGTACCTTGAGGAGGGGTTTGAAACACATTATTGTAAGATAATGGCTGTTCCTGCCAACCTGACTCCTCCACCTCTGTATTTGAGGTGACTCATTTGTATTTTTTCACTTGTATTTTTCAGTACAGCATCTGAACAGTATGTTTTTGCAGCTGGAACTTTGTCCTCAGATCAGGAAGCACGCTGGTGGGATGAAACAACATATTTCTCAAACTGCCACAGTCCTTAAGAGTCTCGTTCCATTGAGGGTAACGAAACAACTGCTTCAACAAAAATGTTACACAAGGAAAAGGCTGTCAGATATTTTCCTGTCTGGCTCCTTCTTTGCTGCACATTCTGGATATTCTTTACATATAGTACCCTATAAGTTGTCAGCATCCATCTAGTACTGTACCTCTGGAAAGAGATTTTATGTGATAAATATGTCACTGAAAGTCATGCAAGAAAATATTCTATCTTCAAAGTTTGGCTGTAACACCCTTGAATGTAACTGCCAATGTACAGCCTTCCTTTTCACTTTCAGCAAGAGAGAACATAGGACATGTCTTCTTGAACAAGCTCATGTAAAACTGTACTTGTAGTATATAAATTTAGGATTTTGGTTGATTCATGAGAGTGATTTCTTTTCATTTGCTCCCTTAGAAATTAAATCACTTCACCCAACTGGTTTCCCATTATTTTTTCCTTAATTAGCTTCCTTTGTTAATCCTTCTATACCAAGAAGTTGAGAGTCAGGCCATCTCTTTTTTCTCCTTCATCAAATAGAAGGGTGGAGATATCTTGGTGTAGCTGTCATTAGTCCCAGGTCAGAGGATAGAGAACTCACTGCTTTAGTCTTCTGTCCTTGCCAGAGGAATGACAAAAGCAAGTTAAGAGGCATAACAGCAAAACCTAGAGCTCCACCCCTCTTCAGCCAGCAACATGCATAAATCTGTTTACAGGTTTGAAACACATCAATACCCATTTAGCCTCGGGAAAGGTATTTCCCTTATACCCACCTCTTGGTGATTTTCTCTATTTTGCATTATTCGCTAAATACATAGATTTGTTTACAAGCTCAGGACTTTCAGATTGCTTGGTTTTCCCTACTCAGGACTGTAATTGTAAATCTGGGAGAGGCTGGAGCTGAGGAGTCTTGTTATCAGTTTCACAAACTTTATAGGCTACTATGCTGGGGAAAATCCCAGCCCCACCATCCAGAAATCATCTTTGTCATCCATCTTACATACTCTTGAACTCATAAAATGCCTATCGGGTGCTTGAAGGTTTCTGTATGGATGCATCTTTACAAGACTGCTGTGATTATACTGGTAGAAACAGTGTCAGAGTCAAGAACTTACTATTAAAGAAAGAGATTGGATGTATATGAATGTCAATAATAACCAGAATTATCTGATTACCTAGCTCCTGGAAAGGGGAATTCGACCTAAAATGAGGACATAGGACACTACTTACTGTTGGATTTTTTCACCTCCTGTTATACAGCATATGAAGCAACTGGTGGAGTGTGCTGTTAGGCACAAAACACTCACTGCCTGAGTGGCTCCTGAATCTCTTCTGATGGAAATTGCTTGGTACAAGGTTTCTCCCTGCAAAGAAGGGGGAGTGACAAAGTGATGCTACCTTGCTGTACTTTGGTTTTCCACTCCATTTAGACTGCATGGCTTTTGGAGCAAGAACTGCTTTGGTTGTCCTCCAAACTTTATTGAAGTCTCTAAAATGTGACCGTATTAAAATAATAAGAAGAAATCACAAGCATATTCACATACTAATTATTATGCAAAGTAGGGAGGGGGAGGGAAGAAATTATGAGATTCCTTTGAAAAGCTGCCAGCACAGGACCAAATACAAAAGGTGTTTGAAGTGGGAGCACACTGTACCAGACTAAAGAATTACCAACATACCAGTTATCCTTGTTTAGGGGTATTATCATTTTATGACATCTATTTACTTTAGCATAGCATTTTTTATTTTTTGACTCAGTCTCCCAAAAGTCTCCTCTAAGTCCACAATGTATTTTAGTATCACTACAAGATGTTTTCTTCATTTAAAGCTTTTCTCTGTTGCTTTGCACTGTAGGCAGGTAAAAATTGACTGCTAATTAATGCAAACTTCAGCTTTTGTTTCCTTTTTTTTTTTCCAGTTAAAGGTGTTGAAAATAATAATAACTTACTCGTAAGTTTCAAATAATAATTTTTCTTCAGTTCTTTGTAGAAGGAAGTATTTCAGCTTGATCCTAACTTATATGTCTCCATTTATGCAGCCTAGCAGCAAATATATCCTAGTAATGCACAGAACGGAGAAAAAAAGCAGGGACATTGTGAAAGAAAAATAGCAAGTACCTCAAAACATGTATTTTTCTACAACAGGTCTGTTTGTTTTTATGCTGCTGTGTCAGAGACTTGCTTATTTCAGGTATCAAGATCAGATCATCCGGCGAGAGCATCTGCCAGCAGTGGCTTGGTAGGGGCTCCTTGCTTGGGACACATCGTAGCTGCATCCTGGCCAGTGCAGTGCAGGTTCCCAGTTGGAAGTTAGCCTTAGTTGCCTCAAATTTCTCTGCATTGCTGATATAAGCCAACAAAAGCTGATACAAGCCAACAAAATGAACCTTCTCCTGCCAAAGTGAAGTCTCCTCTCTGAATAACACCAGCCAAAAGAGCCAGCAGCAAAATGCCACTGTATTTGTGCTCCTGGCAACTGCAAGCCCCTCTGCTGTTGCAGCCTCTTGCAGGGAGGGCACACAGCATCTCCAAAAAGCCATGGTCAACACACATGCTCCAGGGACATAAAAATGTCTGCAACTCATGGCCCCACAAAAGTTCTGGCAGCAAAACTTGCTACTAAAGACACAGTCTGGCAGGGTGATTTCTCCTGCAGACTACTACATGTTTTCTTACAGGGGCAATGGGTTTGCCATACCACAGACAGGATTTTGGTAAAAATTGGTGGAACATGTTCCCACTTGAATCTCCTTATAAACTGACTTGTGACTTGTGCTGCCATGGAGGGAAAACAGAGCATGGGCACCTGATAGAAAACCAGATGTGCAAGGAGCCCTGTTCATTCCTGTGGATTTTCAGTTTTCAGGTAGCAATTGGTCCAGCAATATACAAAGGTATTTGAATGTCAGACATCAGTTATCATATATTTGCATTAAAAATACATTAAATACTGCTCTAAAGAGTTTTCCTTACAATGCAGCAATTAAATTATAGTTTCTCTCAAGAACTCTCTTCCCTAGAGCTAGGTACCTTCATTCTTCTCAGTATTTTAGTGAGGATAAAAGCCAGGTTCAAATTACTCAAAATCCAGATTTGACTTATTCCACCCATATTTGTTCCAGACATGTTTAAATCCATGGATAGTTTTAAAAATGCAGATAAAATACATGGTTTATTTCTGGACTTGGCATGAATTGAACTGTATTGAACAGACCCCCATGTCCCTCACTGGAGGTGTTTAAGGCCAGGATGGGGCTCTGAGTAACCTGGTCTAGTGGAAGGGGGGTCCCTTCCCAGGGCAAGGGGGTTGGAACTAGATAATCTTTAAGGTCCCTTCTAACCCAAACCATCCCATGATTCTATGAACACATTACAGTGTTCATACAGGATGTGAACATAAGCCTCCATCTAACAGGCAGATGGGAGGCTGAGTAGAAGTGTGACTTCTCTCAGTAAGCTTCAGCCAGCCATTTTACTGGGAAGGGAAATGTTCTTGGAGTGGCAGATACTAGACAGATGGACAGAAACTCAGTGCTAAAATAGCTTGTTATCATCTGAACAGGCCCAAAAGTGATGGTACTTTATTTTGTAACAGGTTTTGAGCACAAACCCAACTCAATGTGTGGATTCATGCCTTGAGACCTAGCTTCACCAGTATCTCATTCTAGGTTTAACTACAAGACTCTGAACAGGCTGTTCAAGTCACGCATTAATCATTTAAACTTAAAAAAAAAAAGTGACTCTGCAAGAGAGTTAATGTGTTACTTCCAAAACTAACTAAAATTTTGGAGTCCTGATCCTCTATGGTA